GAGAGAAACTAGACTATAGGGACTTAGAGTAGGGGAACATTTATCTTCTGAAAGCTTCCTAAAAGACAAGTCACATGAACTGGGCTTTGAATGGTGGTAAATTAACCCACCCCTCACATCATCGCAGGCTTCTAACGGAGCCAGTCCTCTGCTGGAATTTCATAGGGGCAGGTTTGACTCCTTCACCCCATTTTATAGCTGTGGAGTCCTGGTGTGGCACTGTTGAATAACACAAGGCCGGTTTGAGCTTCAAAGTCTGTGGTTCAAACTCACCAGTCACTCTAGGGAACTATATACAGGTTTGCTATGAGTCAGAACTGACTCAATGACACTTATCAGAGTGAGGCTGCCAAGGGACAAATGGTCCAAGGTCCCACACTGAAGTCACAGACCTCACAGCTCTGTCCTTGTCCAGCCTGGCAGTGAAGGGGAGCCGAGGTTGTAGGAATAGGATGTAGCAGCTGAGGAGGAAAGACCCTTCCCCCAGTCATCAGGGACGGGACACAGGTTTGTCCGTTTCCCCAGTAGACTGTGAGCACTCCAGGGGCAGATGCTGGAACCTGCTCCCAGTTCCAAACACAGGGTCTGGTACACACAAACTGCTTTGGAAGGAGGGTGGGTGGGAGGAATAGGATCAAGGGAGAGAGACAGGGAAGGATGGGTAGGCAGGATATGATCTTGTACCAAACCCAGAGGCCTTAGACTTCAACCCACCCCAGCATCATAGAACACATTTTAAGAGGAAGAAAATTCTGGAAGAAATGTTTGTGGGATGTGGAAAGGTTTCCTTGGAGGACCATGACCTGCCTGGCCTAAAGGGCTGCCCCATGGCCTGAAGAGAAGAATGTGGACAGGGAAGGGAGCTACCAGAGACAGATTTCAGCTGGAAAGATGGGAGGATTTCTCAACAGGCAGTGACACACTAACCCTCCAGATGCCCAAGCTCCGGAGCTGTCACAAGGTGTGCAAGTGTGGCTTGGAAATTCCCCACTGGAAATCTGAAGGATTTCTGCTCCAAGGAGGGGCCCAGGGCTGGCCACAATGGCCTCCCAGTCCTATGACCCTGTGATTCTAGGAGTCTGATTCCATGCCATTGACCTTCTGTCCAGTGGTTCTATTCTGTTCCCACCCCCACCACAGAAGGCCCTGGGAGCTAAGGATGACAGTGCCAGGCCACACCCCATTTAGCGGGTATTGTTAGCCCACCAAGGTACCCAGGTGGCTAAGGGCTTGCTGCTAACTGAACTGCTATTTGAATCTACCAGTTGCTCCTCAGAAGAAAGATGTGGCCGGTCATCTGCTTCAATAAAGATCACAGCCTTGGAAACCCAGTGGGGCAGAACCCATTTCACAGATGAGGAAACTGAAACTCAAAGAGCCAAGCAGCTTCCAGTCAGTCAGGAAATGTAGCCATCTGGGCTTGAAGCCAAGCCTGTCAGACCCAGTCATCCTGTCTCAGCCAGTCTGATGTGATGTCCTGTGGTCCCAAGATTCTCTGCTTGTGGCTTGAGACCTGAGTTCTCTTCCCCTGGGGCTAAACCACAACCCCCAGCCCAGCCTCACCACAGTCAGCTCTGTGGTTTCCCGAATGCTCTCGACCAGCCTTACCCTTTACCATAATGGTTTCGCTGCTTAGTTCTCAAATTCTGATAGAGGAAGGTGACTGCCCTTCTTCAAGTGGCCTTCAGGCTGACTCACACGTTGGTCACAGCACATCACTTCAGCTTAATTTTATTTCCTCTTATAAATGGGCACAGCACGGGAAGTGTTAAAAAACAAACAAAACAAAAAACAGTTCCTTCTCAAGGCAGGGACAGGTGAGTGCCCACAGTGGGGCAGTGCCTTCGTCTCTTTTTCCTCTTTTCCTTATTTAAAGTTTTGGCCATGAACTCGGAACAAGTCTGGTTAATAAATGGGTTATGGGAGAGAGTAAGGTCAGGGAAAGTCCGGGGGAGGGAAGGACAAAGTCCCCCACCAGGGCAGGTTCTCACAGGCTCTGTACAGGGGGTGGGGGACACTCTTCAGGGGCTCTCTGGAGCTTCACTGCCTACGAAAAGTATTTACATGCATTTACCGCGCTGGGGCCAGGGCACCCGAGGATGCTGCGCGTGGCCGTCAGCCCTCATGTGGGTGACTCTGGGTCCAGTCTCGGCAACTGTAAATCTGTACACGGTTGTAGGTCCTATTTACAGGCAGGAGGCCTGGGATGTGGCTGGCAGGAGAGGAATGCAGCCAAGCCCTGGATTAGCAGGCACTCCTGTGCCCCCGGCCCCCCCCCCCCCCCAGGTCTAATCTGAGCACCCAAGCCTCTGCCCACAGGCTGCCTGGCCCAACCCTGGTTGCCAATAGATGCCACTCATGCTTAAGGGGACCAGCCTTTCAAGACTTCTGAGACCTCACACCTCCAAACCCCCAGCCCATTGGGTTCTAGAAGTCACAAAGGGTGGGGTAACACCCCCTCCCCACCATCTAGGCCTCATACTCTCAGGCAGCTAAGGTCTCAGAGGTTCTCAAGCCACACAACCCTTATTCAGCTTCCCCTATGTACTAGGAACCCCCAGGGTCCCACCAGTACCTTCCTGGGCACCAGGGGCCCTGCATCATACCACAGGCCATCAGCAAGTGAGGACCCTGAAACCACAGCACCTTGAGGAGCAACAGACCCTCTCCCCAACTGCTCTCTTGGATGCCTGGCTCCAACTGGCAGGCCAGGCTGCACTCAACTTCCTAAGGGAAACCTGGACTTTGCTTGAGGTCAAGGGTTCCATGAATGAGGCGTTTTTTCAAATGCTAAGAACACAAAGAAGAGAGGCCAGTACCGGCAAAGTCCCAAATCCCACATTGAAAGCCAGCCCTCCGGGTGGAAGGAGGCAGGCCCACTGTGCCCTATTATGCCATCCATGCCCACCTGGGCCAGCCTAGCCTGACTCTTCTTGTGCTGGCTCCCAGCCCCATGCAGGGGCTGCTACAGTCCCAGCATCCTCTGGGGTCAGGATGCCCTAGGCCTCAGCTACATGTCCAAGTCCTCCCACTTCTACTCTCCCAGACTTCTCAGCCTTGGACTTCTCACCAGAGTGGCTGCCTCACCAGGAAGTAAGACAGAGGGAGACTGGTACTTTGTCTCCTCTCCTCCCCATGCCCCAGCCCCCCTGCTCCAGGGGTGAAGGAGTCAGGTCACCTCCTACAAAGGTCCTGGGTCCCTAGATGCCTTCCCCCGATCTCTCCTCAAAGGTTGGGTCCCTCACAAGCCTCCAGGTCCTGCCAAGAGGACCTTCACCATCTGGGAACAAGACTCTAGAGAGGACTGCCTAGGAGAGGTCTCCCAGAGTCTTGTTCTCCCTGCCTCGGGTTCCTCCCATCCTTACCATGCAGAAATCCACTGCCTGGGAGTTCTGAAAAGGGAACAGAAAGCAAGCCTGGGTTCTTGACTTAGGTCTGGTTGGGGGTGGGGTGGGTGTGAGCACCAGCCAGTCCCACTCACGCCACATCCCTTTGGCTCCAAGTAAGTGCCCCGCTGAGTCTACCCTCCCCAAAGGGGATGTGGCCCTACATTTAAAATATCTACAGAAATGACCCCCATTGTGAGGACAGCACAGAGGGAGCTCTATACCCCCACCACCATCTGCTCTGAGGTCTCAGGCCTCTGTCGTCGGGATCTGGGGCAGCTCGTCTGGGATGAACTGGTTCTAGCTGTGGACTCTTCTCACTGCAACAATTGTGCAGGTGACCGTGAGGAGGGCTGAGGTGGCCTGATGAGGCCAAGGACAGAAGGTGCAGAGTGGCCAGGCAGCAGGGCCGGCCCGCACAGGCACTTTGGAGACGTGGTGTTCTGGGAAGCAGGGCCTGCCCCTAGCTCAGAGCAGAGGGAAGGAGGGAGACCAGGAGCCAGACCATAAACTCCACTCCATCTGGAGACCAAGCACCCTCCACAGCCTGGGGCCAAGTCTGAGACTCCATCCATCCAGCCTCAGCCTTGGAGAAACCCCAAGGCTCCCAGTCAGTGGGGGTTAGAGGGAGGCTGGTCCCAAACTTCCCCTTTTCAGGCTATATTGGGGAGGGATGCAGGAATGGTTGAGGCCAGGGCAAGTCAAATGTGCAATGCCCTAAGGGGCCTTCTTCTAGCAACTTCCCCCACATCAGGTTTTATTCCAGGAATAAAGCTAGGCAGTGTGAGTACCCACTGTCTGCCTCCAATTGTGGGGGGAAAGCATGTGCCCACGTGGGACTGTACTCAACAGGAGGGGGCAGTGGTCCCGTGACTGGTGTGGATGCTGTGGTAGGGGACTGAGCGTCCACAGGGCAACCTAGGGTGACCCAATATGGGCTGATTGTTCCGGCCTGATTCCACCCTCCCTGCGACCTGAACGCTAGAGACAATGTATGTGGAGCCCCTATTGCAGGGAGGGGGGGCAGAGACAGCCCCACACTGCACTCTGATTGGTGACTTGCATTGAAATGCTTGACTGGGGTGAAGCATCCCCGGGACAGTATGACAGAGAGAGGCTGGTGGTCAGAATTGTGTGTGATTTTGTCACTGCGTGCTTTTGTAGTGCTGTGACGGTGACAGTGACAACACGTGACAGTGTGGCAGATGACTGTAGAGTCCTCAAGCCAGAGGGACGCCAGGGCAGCTCTGCCTCACCAGCAGCTGCCCAGGCACCCTCAGGAAGACATTTTCAGGGGAAGACTTAGGGGGTTTATGGGAGCATTGGGGTGGGGGGAAATCCCATGACCCCAGCGATGCCAGGACAGAACAGGCTGGGGCAAGGGACATCCCTCACCCCAGAGGAGAGGGGCACTGGGACAGAAGATGCCATGTCCGCATGATTTCAAGGGTCGAGTTTGCCAAATACTTGTTCCGGAAACCAGCCTGCCAGAGCCCAACTCCAGTAAGAAGCCGGCAGACCAGGCCAGTCCAGCAGGGGCGAGTCGGGGCGCAGGTCAGCCTCAAGTCCCACCCCCTTCTTCTACCAGCCAATCAGGAACTTCCTCCTGTCTGGCTGACATGAGGTCCTGAGCCCAGGGCCAGAAGGGGACAGGAGATGAGGTGGTGAGGGCACAGTCTGGGGCAGATAGCAGTGCCCCGCCCCCCAAACCTCTCGGGGAAGATCTATGGCAGCCTGGGCAGACCTTGGGAGAGAGGGCAGACCAGAGCTGGGGCCAGGTCTCCTCCAGGGCCCAGGTCCAGGCCCGGGCTGATGGGGCCGGCAGGGACTGGGCCGAGGGCGATGCTGAGGCTGCGGGCAGGCACTGCGGCTCTGCTAGGCGTAGAACTCTTCCTGCTTGTCAGGCTTCTGGTACGTGACGCTCGCCTGCTTGGGCTCCTCCAGCGTGTAGCTGCCCTCGTCCTTCTTCTTCATGCGGTAGATGAGCAGTGTGACCAGGAAGGCGGCGAACAGGGCGCCCACTACCCCGCCCACAATCACCGCTGTGGAAGGAGAGGGCACAGAGGTCACGGCCCAGAGGCAGGTAGAACAGGGCAGAGTCTAGGGAAAGGTGAGGGATCCCGGAGGCAGGGTAAGGCTGAGAGTCCCACATGTCATGCCCCCACTGTGGGACTGCTTTCCTTCTGCTTCTCCCCCCAACCCCGCAACTCCATTAACTCATGGAATCCTTCCAACAGCCTGAGGAGGGTACCACGGTCTTCATCGATTAAGAGCCCCTCAATCCTAAAATGAACCACTGTTTTATAGAGCACTGAATTGCTACACAAAAGATGGGCTGTTCCAACCCACCAGCCACTAGGGAGAAAGATGTGGAGGTCTGTTTTCTTAAAGATTTACAGCTTCGGAAACACTATGGACTAGTTTGACTCTCTCTGGCGGTGGTGGTGGTGGGCCATGGAGTCCGTTCCTACTAATAGTGACCCTGTCCTGTGCAGGGTTTCCGAGGCTGTAAATCTCTACAGAAAGCCTCATTGTTCTCCCTCAGAACCGCTGGTAATGTCAAACTGCTGACCTTGAGGTGAGCAGCCCGACATGCAACCACTACGCTACCAGAGCTCCTTCCTAGAGGGTCGTTGTGAGTCCACCTTGACTGGACAGCAGCGGGTGGGTAGGAAAAGAAAAAAAATGTGCCAATTCAACTTTCTAGAGGATGTGCTTTTGAGTTGATTTTGCTCCACAGGGCAGAGTAACACTGTCGTGAGTTTTTCTAGAAATTTCACTGACAAATATACAGAAGTAGATCGCTAGATGCTTCTCCTACTAAGTCGCAGGATTGGCTCAGATCCTCCAACATTTTGGTTCGCAGCCAAGTGCTTAACCACTGTGCCACCAGGGGTCCTTTAGTTAAACTGTGTTGTTGCTGTTACAGTTGTTGTTGATCCAGTTGTTAAGTGTCATTGAGTCAGTTCTGACTCATAGTGACCCGGTATAAGGTTTCTGAGACTGTAAGTCTTTGCAGGAACAGAAAACCTCATCTTTCTACCATGAAAGTGGCTGGTGGACTCGAGCCTCTGACCTTGTGGTTAGCTGTCCACTGTTATCCTGAAGAGCCACTGTGTTCCCTAATTAAACTATGACACATCCCAATGACAGAAGAATTCATATATGAACAGGCATGCCCCTTAGAATGAACTGCACCCATTGTACAGATGAGGAAAAGGACACCTAGACAGGTAAAAAAAACCTTGTCTGAGGTCACACTGTTCGTTAGTGGGGAGCCAGGATTTAGAGCAAGAGTTCAGAGTTTAGGAGATGTGGCAAGGGATTGGGGCCAAGTGAAGCCAAAGGATGGGCTTGGAGATTAGGCTCCAAGGGGTGAGGTCTATGGGGTAAGCAGCATGGCTCAGGGAAGCAGTGGTTCAGGGAAGCTGGAGAAAGTGCTGGAGGTGGAGATGAAGTCAGGGCAAGAGCCCAGGATTGGAGAAGGTCAAAAGGGAATCAGAGGTCAGGTCTGGGCACCGGGTCCCCAACTGTCTGGATCCTAGAAAACTCATCCTTGGCTCAAATCCCAGGCCTCACCTACGAGCACCTCTTTCCGCTCCAGGATGCTCTTCTGAGGCAGCTGGGCAGCAGAGCTGCCTGAGTCGATGGCATTGTCCAGGAGGCCAGGGCCTGGGCGGGCACCTTTGGGCAGCAGCCCAGGTGGAGGTGAGGGCTTGGCTGCAGGTTCTCCCACAGCCACCACCTCATTGGCTGTGTCTGGCTGCGTAGTCTCTTCCTCTGGCAGTTCAAAGTCGCCGCTGGGTCCCCCACTCACGGGCACCTCTGGCTCATCCCGGATGGTGGTCAGGAAGGACTCTGGTGTGGGGGTCTGCAGGGAAGGTGGCGTGAGTGCAGTAAACAGGGCCCAGCACCCCCTGGACAGGCAGCCTCTCCCCACCCAGCACACACAAGCCCAACCCTCTGCCCACTTACTAAGTCCTTCCAATGTGCAAACACTGTGCTAAGCACTTTACATACATTCTCCCTTCACAAAAGGTGGTATTAGTGTCCTCAATCTACAGAGCCAGAAATAGGCTCAGAGGAGTTAGTGACGTGCCCAAAGTCACACAGCTGGTAAAATGGGCCAAGCAGAACCCACATGCCATATATATCCAACTCCAGAGTCTGAGTTTGTAACCTACATGTAATGCGACACTGCCTCTTTCCCGCCCTGGACACTTCCTGTCCCCATCCCATCCCGTCACTTCCTTTGTAGCAATCCTTGGAGGATTCCTGTCAAGCCATTTGGGGGCTGCAAGGTTCAACTGTTATGTACTTGGAGCTGGTCCCTGACCCACGTGCCTGGGGCAGAGGTGAGATTCCTTAGCCTGGAGGTCAGTCCAAGAGCATGACCCACAGAGTATGATGCCCCTTGGGGACAGGTGTCCAGGAAACCATATGGAGTCAAGGCCAGAGCTGGGCAGTGGGAACCATCGGGGCTGGGTGTGGCCACTTCCCAGGTGGGCGTGGAGAGGGCGAGCCTGGTGTCTAGACCAGCAGCCTAGGCTGGACACACTGGTCCTCTCAGGCTCCCTGCCCTGTCATTGTTTTCCCTTCCTGCTTGGACAAGTCTCTGCAAGAACAGCAGGGAGCCCAGCTGCTCCTAGGATCCTTGGGAAGGGGCTTGAGTTAAGGGAGCAAGGAACTGAAGCGCCTGGTTAACTGAGCCCCTCCCTCTTCACACACTCACATATACTCCCAAACCTCAGGAGGAGCTCCGAGCCCACTGCTAGGGAGCTGTGACCAGCTGTGAACCCCTGAGAACAGGGCTTTCCCATCCTGTGCCTCAGTTGTCTCATCTGTAAAATTAAGCCCCTCCCCACAGGGTGGCTGTGAGGACTGAGGAGATAAACCACAGGTAATGTGTTCAGCACTGAGCCGGGCACACAGGGCCTGCCACAAATATGAATGCAAATCACTGTGCCCATACGGCCCCACCCTCAAGTCCCCTCAGACGATAAGAAGAAGAATTATTATGTGCATTGAATGCTAAATGACAGGTAATATTATTAATAATAATGCGGCAGCTACAATTTTTGGTTTGTTTATGGTTACCAGGCATCATTCTGAATACTTTGGCTATAACCATAAATTTAATTCTCACACCACTAATATCCCATTATTTGCTCCTCTTCACAGATAAGGGAACAGAAATCTAGAAAGTGGTAGAGGAAGAATTCCACTCCAGGCTGCCTGGCCGGCTTCTGATTCTGCTCTTAGCCACAACAGACAGACCCACCCCTTCCCCCCACCAACACACATGCACTCATCCAATTCCTTTCCCACATCTTGCCCCAACACCCTAAAACTACGCTGACCACCGACTCTGTCTCCCCTTTCCCATCCCATTCCTCAAATCTCCTTCCTCACCCTCTGGCGCATACCCCTCTCCTTCCCCCCAATCCAGTCTGGCTCACCTCCAGACCCTCCTGGTCCTCACTAAACCCACCTCTTCTGCTCTTGCTCCTTGTCATCTCACAACCTCCTCACCTGAGCCACCTCTGTGGGTTCAGGAGCAATGGTCCCCAGGGGCAGGGTGCTCCTCTCGGGGACATCAGGCTCCTGGGTGGTCGCTGGCCTGGGAAGGGCTCGTGGTCTGGAGGTAGCTGTGCTGGCCAGCCTGGGCGTTGGTGCCTCTGTGTCTAAGACAGCCACGGTGGTGGGAGGCGAGGGTGCCGCTGGGGTGGTGGCCCGGGCCGTGGCTGCTGTGGTCAGTGGAAATGGCAGAAGCCTCCGTACACTGGTGGTCCTTACGACAGCAGTGGTGGTGGTGGAAGGCGGTACCACAGGAGTGCTGGGGGCAGCAGTGGCCACAGTGGCAGGCACGGTGGCCACAGCAGGGGCCTCTGTTGTTGCGGCAGCAGTGGGAACCATGGTAGTGGCGATGGTGGTGGCTCTCTGGCTGGGCTCTCCCGGAACCTCTGTCACCACCAGGATGCTGGTGGTCGGCTCTGGGGTGGGGTGCTCAGAGGGGAGCTCTTCAAACGGGGTGCCCACAGGCTGGATGTCCGTGGTGGGCAACACAGCAGGCGTGGTGGGCACTGCCAGGGCCACGTCCGGGCTGAACCGCATGGCTGTCTCAATGCCCGATTCCTGCTCGAAGTCTGAGGGGGTGGGGGAAAGGGAGAGAGCTAGGGAGCTGGGAGATTGTGAGGGGCATAAGAACCCCGTGTAAGCAATGGTCATCAAGACTGGGGGCTCTCAATCCCTCTCTTTGCCCCAAGTCCCCCAGGACAAGATGGGAGAAAGGAAGAAGGTACAACCTGGCCTAAGGTTACCACTTGGCTAATGGAAATTCCCCAACTTCTGCCTACCCAAAAGTCCTCCCAGGGGCCACCTCTTCCAGGAAGCCTTCCCTGACTATCCAGTCCACCCAGGTCAGCATTCTGGGAAGAGAGTCAAACCCAGGCAATGTAGGTTCACCAAGGGGTTCCCCCAGAGGCACAGGCAGAGGGCAGTAGAGGTGGGGGGCAGGTAGAAGAAGGAGCCCTTCCTACAGGGGAATACTTGAGCCACCTGACTCAAAGTCAGGAACCCTGAAGGGGCTTAGAGGAAACAAGAAAGACAAGGAAAGAAGAGCCAACTCCTGGGGGGGGCCTGTGCCAGGGGACCCGCCCCTTCCATCAGACATCATACAGGCCCCTCACAGAGGCCAATCTCAACTCCCTCCTTTTTTTATTGCTATCATTTTTAGAGATTTGTGTCGCATCTCCATCTTACCTCAAACCCTCAGGTAGCAGAGAGGAGGGTATATACTTATATTTACTACAGATAAGAATACAAAGACTCAAAAAGGGCACACAGCTATTAAGTAACAAAGCTGGGATTTGAACTCATCCATCTCCATCATCGGTCCCCTCTCTCCAGCACCACTCTAGCCCTGGCCACAGCTGACTGGGGGGTGGGGGGTGGGGGGGGAAAGGGGGCGCACCTGACCCAAGCAGAGCCTCTGCTGAGGATCTACCACTGCAACTGAAAACCAAATGAATCTGCTGCTTTCTTGGCAACTCTGACTCAAAAAAAACCTTAGAGGGCAGAACAGAGCTGCTCCATGGGATTTCTGAGGCTGGAATCTTGACGAAGCAGATTGTCACATCTTTGTCCCATGGGGCGGCTGTGGTTTGAACCACTGACCTTTTGATTCACAGCTCAATGCTTAACCCACTGCGCCTCCTGCACTCCTGAGAGAAGTGGAAAAGTAATCTGAAAGCTGGGTTGCGGAGGGGTTGCTCTGTGTCCCTAATCAGACCAGAGGGCAGAGACAGCAGAGACGTCAGCATGCCGTGGAGTCCTCCAGGCCTGGGTCGGATACCCACGAGGGTCATCCGCCCTTCTTGGGTCTGGGGTCCATAAAGACCCCTGCCTGGCCTCCCTAAATAACCTCCCCCACACTGCATCAGTGAGCTGAGTGGGTTTCTGTCCCTTGCAAGGGAGAGGGAGAGGGTACTTACAGCCCGAGCCCGACCCCGAGTAGAGGTCATCTAGCTCGTCATCGGGGAAGGAGTCATCGTCCCCAGAGCCCTCCAGGTCCACTGGCCTCTCGAAGTTCTCACTGCGCCAACGCTGAGCCTGTGGAGGGGAGAGGTGGGTGGGGCTCAGCACCGAGGGCGGCGCCTGGGCCCATCCACAGATGGGACATACAGATCCAGAGGGGCCTCCACGTGGGTAGGTAGCCTAACTGGGGGCGGCCCACTCTAGGGCCGCAGCCCCCACTATATTCTTGAGGCTGTTGTTATTAAGTGCTGTGGAGTCAGTTTCCCAGGAGTGGCTGGTGAGTTTGATAGCCCCTGCTTATTCTCTCACCCTCTAAACAGGAACCATTGGGTGGTAGAACCGTGTTCAGAGCACAGACTTCGGGGGTGGAATGCTTGGGTTTGCAGCCATCACTTAAATGTGTGACTTTCAGCAAATTACTTAATCTCTTTGTGCCTCAGTTTCCTGAGCATTAAGTGTGCTAATACACAAACAGTACCACACAGCCCAGGCTCATGCAGATGCCTGGTACAGGTTCCCTGTTAGTCTCAATGGGATCGGTGCCATCACCCCCACTCACGGGTGGGGGTCCTCAAGACAAGTGGGGAGTGGTGGTGGTCATCAGTAGTTCCATTTGACATGTGAGAGGACCGAGGCCCAGCTGTCACAAGCCCCTCAAGAACAGGTGCAGAGCCCTAGACTGTTTGGTACCCACTATCCCCTACCTCACAATCCCCATTCGCACCCTCAGATGGACATGGTGGCAGGGGAAATGTGGGGCTCTGAAAGGCAAGTACTTGGGCGGGGAGGGTAGAGAAGTAAGTACAGGCCCCAGCTTCCTCCCCTCCCCCCCCCCACTCCCAAAATATCTCAGTGCCCCCCAGAGTCAGCTCAGAGACTGACAATCTACTTCCATCTGCCAGGAGAGTGTCCAGGAGGGGCAGCAGAGGTGACAGGGGCTTTTCCCAGGGTCTAGCTCTTCAAGCCCAAGAGTCCTCTCAGAGCTAGTGCCAACGATCTAAAAGGCAGGAGTGCAAGCCCCCTAAGAGGCTCACCTTTATCCTGATTCCAGACTGAACCCAGCTCTAGTCCCTGCATCCTACGGTGAACTCAACTCCCGGTGCCTGATATGAAGGACAAGGCATTTGGCTTTAAATAATTGAAATCAAGAGAGAAAGGCATCTCAGGCTGAGGAAACAGAGTAAGCAGAGTCCGAGGCTGGGAAGTGCTGCCTGTGCTTTCAGAGCTGGCTCTCCCCAGCCCCCCCTCTGCTTAGGAACACCCTTCCTACCCATTTATCCCCTCACCGGCCAGCCCCCAACTATTCTGTCAACTAAATTCAGCTCCCATGTCACTCCACATGAGAAGCCCTTCTCTTCTGACCTTTTGGAGAATCCTGGACTTCGGCTCCACAGCATTTATCACTGCTTGTGAGCTTGAGCTCCTGGTGCCTATGTTTGTGCGTGGCTGTGCCCACCCCACTCAACTAGGCACTCAGTGAAGGCAGGGGCAAGTGAGTGTCTAGACCCCAGCAAGGTGCCCAGCACATAGCAGGCAGTCAAGAACTGTTGATTAAGGAACGATCGTTGACTTAGGAATATGGGACTGATACGAGGAGCAGGGTGAGGCAGGGATAGCTAGAATGGAAGTTGTTGACGTCAGCTGGACCCCATCACAGACTTTCAGTGTCTGACAAGTGGCCTGGTCTTGGAAATTGGTCATTTTTTTATGCTGGCTGCACAACAAAAATTTGTGACAGGTGAGAACAGTAATTCAGTAGTGTGCAGGTAGAGGAATACAAACTGCAAACAGAAGGGAGCTACAGAAGGTGTGTGAGCAGGAGAGGGACTGGACTGGCCCTCTATTCTGTGCTCAGACTGGCATACACCCACCGCTGACAGCCCCCCCTTCTAGAGTTTGTATCAAGTCAGAGAGAGGTTAATACAGGGTTTCCATCCTGGCTTCCGGCCCCCAGCCTGGACCACCTGCTCCAAAGCCATAGCCAGCTCAGTCAGGGCAGGAGGCCAAGGGCAGGAGGCCAAAAGATACCCCCCCAAAACACACACACAAACACATACACACACACAGAGTCTCCAAGTAATGAATTAATCAGTATTTACTTGCTACCAGTGAGTCATGGAGTGGAACAATTAGTATAATTGCTCCTGTGACTAATTGCTGGGTCTTCCTCCTTTTTCGACATTCCAGGAGCTCCAAGCAGCTATGGCCCAACTTTCCCCCAGCTTCCATCTCTGTCCCTACAAATCCCCAGGGCCCAGGATGGGGGTACCAGAAGGCTCCCCACACTACTAACTTCCACAACCTGGGTTCTGCTCTTGTCCCTCCAATTCTCAGGGAAGCAGCCAAAAGCCAGAGACATGTAGCACCTGCTTGAATGGGACAGAGCAGGGAACAGGGTTGTCCTCACAGCCCTCCCCATCCTTCCAGGCAGGCAGAGATGGTTCAGAGGCCTTCAGCTCAAGGAGGGATTCTAAGAGATCTGTGGTTCCTGAGAGTCCCCACCCAGGGGTAAATGTGGGGGCCAAATTAGAAGTCCTGATGATTCCTCCTGACCAATGCCATACCCCAGCTCCTAACAACCAGCTCCCAGAAAGCCCTGTACAAATCCTAATACTCCCCCAAAGGTACCCAGACCCTTAAAATGAAACACCCAGAGACAGAAAGAACATACCCATCCCTAACACACATTCCCTAATAGGCAGCCATATAGAGACATGATGTATCTCCATGCCCCTTGGTGTGAACAGGCACATTCATGGGGCTTAGAGGTGGAGAGGGGGCATACTGTGTAGCTCTGAGACTCAGAGGCAAACATGGAGCCTCCTATGAATCCATCAGCCTCCACTCAGGTAGCTCTCACCTAGATACTATTCATCCCTAGCTCAGTAGCCATCGACATGACAACCGTTACCATGGCAACCATCTCCTCCATGCTAAGGACCAGGCGCTCCAGCTCCCCACAGAGATGTGGGGAGGCTGGAGAGGGAGAGATCATGGAGGAAGAGTGGAACAGAGAGCAAGGCAGGGAGAAGCGGAAGGCGGAGACAGGGGGACAGAGGCAGAGGAGAGAGGGGAGCCAGGGGGCAGAGAAGCAAATAGGCGGGGAGAGGTGGAAGAAGGGCTTGGTGAGAGGCAGGGAGAGAAGGCGTGAGTGGGAGGCAGAGGGAGAGAATTCTCTCACATCTTAATTTAGCCTCACGCTGATCAGACAGAGCTGGGGAGGGGGTCACCTCAGTGATTTTCCAAACCTGTCTCCAAGAACATTCTCTCCAAACAATAAACAGTCCCCAGAGGGAAGAGAGAGGCTTGGCCCAGTAAGTCAGTCACCCCTGAGCTTGCCCTGGGAAGATCAGTGGGAACTTCATGCTGGGGCCCCTGGGGTGCCATCTCATCAAGCTCTCCTCAGGCCTGCTGGGGTCACAAGCTGGTGTGGACCCTGCAAGATCACTACAGGAGTACTGGTAAACTGCAGCTTCCAGGGATTGAGGAGAGGGAACAGAGTCCAGAAGGCATCAGAGAAAGCCTCAGAAGTCACAAAATTCCTGAGTAGGAAGGTGACAAACAGCCTTCGACCCCCAAACGACCTCCTCAATTTGCATAATTCCATGCATAATCAGTATAATTATCCGTGCAATCCCCTTAAAGGAAAACTGAATCCAAATACCCCAGAACCCTGAGAGCCTCTCCCTGGCTCTCAGTACACCTTTCTCCAGATAAGCTCACACCCTCATATGTCTGATACACACATATACACTCCATATCAGCAAACCCCACAACTAATAACACAATACAGCGCATCACAAAGCACACACAGCCACACCTTACAAAAACACACACCTACACCCCAGCACACACACACACACAAAATTAAAAGTAACACTAACTCCAACCTGTATATCCACAAAGCTTACACACAACACAGTCCAACACACACCCACTTACTATACTCCAGGTGCACACACACACATACGCACACACACACCCTCACAGCCCTACAACTGCATCCCTGCTAGTGCCTCACACACCACACACAAACCTCTGGAAAGCTCACCACCACATACACAGCACATACCTCGTCCAAAGCACACACAGGCCGCCCCCATCAGAGACTGTTCCCCAGCTCACTCCTCTCTATTCCCACCTGTGGATGCACCCTTCAACTCTGCCACAACCTCACTGCTCATATACAACTTCTGGCTCAAATGCCCCGTACCCTCTGCACACGGTGAGTCTGCCCATCGCAGGAGCTGAATTTCTGCTTCCTGCTACCACCAATCTCAAGGGCACACACCCAACTCAGGCCTCCCCCAAGCAGCCCATGAGGTCTGAGGCTGGGGTGCTAGGGAAACTGCTGAGGGCTCTCAAAGGGCTCTCAAAATCTCTGCCCACTGCTGAGGGGGCTGCCCAGGAAGACTCCCAAAACACTTCACCTTCACTGTTGCCTTTCATCCCCACAAAGCCCACTGCTTTCATGATCCCATTTCACAGATATGGACACCATGATTAGGGTTTAGGCAGAACTGGATCCTCACTCTCACAAGCCCTTGCCCTGACCACTGCAGGGCTACCCCCAGATCTGTTGCTCATCTAGAGCCCCCCCCCAATCCCTCAGTCACTACACCTCAGTTTAGAAATACCACACCATGCACACACCCCAATGTCGTGCACAGCATACTCACACTCAGCACATTGCAAACACCCACACATGCTCCTGCCTACACATCCCTAAATAGGCCCCCACTGCACCATACACACACCCCACTCTCAGATGCACCCCACCAGGCCATAATACCTACACTCGCAGCTCCTCCCACTCCCCCCCCCACACACACAGTACCCTCTGATACATTCCCTTCTGGCTTCAAAAAGCTTTCAGAAAAATGCCACTATCTTTTCATTCCATTGTCCACACATTTTGGACACCTCCTCTTACAAGTACACACACAATACCAGGGTGACATGGTGCCCTTCCCAGTGGACTATTTATTACTCCACTGCCAGGTTTTCTCGTTGTCCCCCTCAGCACTACCTCAATTTTAGTGGACCCACAGTCTCCCTCCACCCAGGCC